CCGTAGAAAATCAGAGAAACAGTGGCGAAGGACCAAATTAACCGTTCACCAACAGATTTATAGGGAACAATGTCGGCTAGTTGGTTCACTTCTCATTCAGTCAAAGAAGGCTAATTATTTCGAAAGAATTGAAGAATATGGTATGGACCATAGACAGCCTTTAAGACTCACCAAAAACTTGATGGGTTAGAAAGGTGAAATTGTCCTGCCAAGCTGTAATTCTGAAAAAGACTTATCAAACAAGTTCAGTGATTACTTTCTGAATAAAAACAGCTCGATCAGGAAAAATATGTCGGAAATATGTCGGAAGTGAAGTTTACTGATGACAATGATATCTCTGTCATGATTGCTTACATTAAATTTGAAAGTCGAATACCCTGGCAAAATTCAAAATAGACATCAAAACTCACCACTTCATGTCTGCATGTTTGGCTCTTTGCAAAAACGTCATGTAAATACCACCCTTTGTTTATTCCATTTATGTGCATATTGCGATGATTATCTGCTTGCTTAATGTATAAAAGTGATAGTAAGCCTTTGTTTTTTGTTTCACAATTATAACTCATTATATATAATACTATCATCCATATGGTGAAAAGCGCTTTAGAGTAATTTTACAAATTATATAGGGCGTTATATAAATGCTGTATATTGTTTATTATTATTATTATTATTATTATTAGCGAATTAACACCTATGCTACCACTTCGTTTGAAGGCAGTACCTGTATTTATCTATTATTCATATACTTTTCATCCCAATGAAAATCCTAAGCATAGAGACGTTTTCTAAAGACAATTTGCGCGAGATGTACCGTATAAAAAATTATATGCAAATCATATCTAACAAAGGACACCTTTCTTTGGCACAAGGAACAAAGGACAATACATTTTACACACTATGAACTTACTAAAGCAGATGTGAAAGCATTGCTGTGGAAGGGTACATACATTTCCTTTTTATTATAAAGTATAACAATATCTACTAGTAACAGGAACCGTTACACCACAAGGTACCGAAGCTAACCAAGTAGTCGCAAGTGATGGATCAGAAAATGATCGCAATGCCATAAAACTAGGGTTGTCAAACCGGTCTTATTTTTGTAACCGGTTACTCTTCTACCGATCGAGTAACTGGTTAATCGGTCAATTTGGTAGTCAAATAATAAACAACAACAAATACATTATATGTTTGAAAAATATCTATCTTAAACGTATTTACACCACAAACATACATGTATTTATTAATTAGCATGATAGTTTACTCGTGTATTTCATGGTTTACACAGGAAATAGTTGCATGTAACCTCAGTAATTATATGTCATGGACGACGAATGTCTGAATGCAGTAATACGGATTCAATTACATTATCTATACTCGAAATCATATGCGGTAATATTATTCTTTAGAACAAGATTTGCTTGACAAACGTTTTAAGACATGCTTGCTCATTCAAGTGTGTAGTCTTCAGATTATTTTTACATCTCGCATATAAAGGCGCGTTCTATCTCTGAAAGTTGATATTTCACAACTTTGTATTCTGGCTTCCTTTTAAAATCCGGTTCAGATTTTTTATGGTGTTGGCGACATCTCTTTGTCAGTATTTAAATTAGAGTACAACATTAACACTAACATGTAATCCCTGAACACTGTTTTTATTATAAAACTTTCAAAGAGGGCCTGTATCGCTCACATGGATAATAAAACAACCATGGGAAATTATTCTTATTACAAACAATACCTCCAATGGTACAGAAGAATAATAATTTTGAAGAATTAAACCTCAAATTCCACCATTGAGCCCAACAACTCTGCACACCCACCGTTTATTTTGTATAAACGGTGGGTGTGCCGGCACACCTACCCCCACCCCCACCTTTGGTCCACAATGGTCCTTCGGACCGGGTGAGCTTAAAATTGAAGTTTGAAAAAGTTTGTGCAAACCCCGAGGTTGGCCGTAACCTTGTACCTGGACTATCAAACCCGTGATTGGCCGTAACCTTGTACCTAGATTATCAGTCCCCGATGTTGGCCGCAAGTTTTGCCGTAACCTTGTACCTGGACTATCAAAGCCCGAGGGTTGATGTAACCTTGTACCTGGACTATCAGACCCCGAAGTTGGCCGTAACCTTGTACCTTGAATATCAAACGCCGAGGTTGACCGTAACCTTGTACATGGACTATCAGACCCTGAGATTGACCATTGCCGTATACCTAGACTATCAAACCCCGAGGCTGGCCGTTACCGTTTACCTTGACTATCGGTCCCCGAAATTGACCGTAACGTTGTAGTTAGACTATCAATCCACAAGGTTGGCCGTTACCTGGATAGTCTTTATTCTGTCTCTGTTTACATGATATATTAGTAATACATAATACGTAAACTATTTTTTCGGAAAGGTCACTTTTAGCTTATCCGATCGCAATATTCTATCATTAGGTAAATACATCTTCAAGGCTAAATTGATGACCAACCATTAGTTTCTTAGCAGTGACGTTGATGTTACATGGTAAACAAATCACCACTTTTGAACAATATGTTTAAAGTTAACACGTCTGTAGAGTGTTTTTACGAGCATCTGTCGAGAAACATGGTAGTAGAAGTTTTCAGAATCCGTTTTTCGTAAAATATCTAAATTGTGACGGTGACCTGGACCTAACACAATGATAATGCTACTCGAACTTGTGAAAAGCATGTCCAATGCAAACATGAAAATCTGACGAGAAACATTCGTTAGAGGGTGTGACCAACAGACAGACGGAACAAAACTATAATGCCCTTCACGCATCACGTATCGGGAGCATAATACGGACATAGGATTTAATCAGGGGCAATCCTGTTGCATAAAACGTGTCGTTAATCAATATTTTCAGTAAGTATTACTAAAGTTGTGTCATTCATCGGTCAACGCTTGGGCGATCACCTACGAGCTAGACGGCTTTGTCTTATTTGAAATATCACAAACAAAAGTCTCATAGCATTACCTATTATTCTCAACCAGGAAGTTTGCTAATTGATGTTGTTAAATGTATTTCTCTAATCATACAAACGTTTTAAATTGATACCGTATGAATTAGTGTCCCTGACCAGAAATGAATGGCATGGGCCATATGACCAACCACGTCAGTGTTGTCCGGGTACTTCGGTTTCCTTCCCCATAACAACCCTTAGCCCACTTCTATCTCGGTAATTGAGAACTGATAATAAACAAATATTTTTCCATAATAGCTTTTAACAATAAAGTTTGATATGTATGTTCTTCTAAATCGGACGATATCTTGTTTCATAACTATCACATGAGGAAACAAGCGTTAAAAATGAAACACAAGAATATATTACATATAGCTAGATGCTATTAATTATTTAACACTAGTATTCCTATAAACAGGGTTATGAAATATATGTTTTAACAATTCAGTCTGAAAAACATTTTAGAACCTGTAGAATATTTAACTTCAATATGAGTCAATACGCTGTTATATTAAGACTTTCGAAGATACATATTTCTTCAGCACTATATATCTACTTGTGCGCCCAACAGTATCGGGGTAAGACAAGGGTGTAATGCTTCCCTAACTGTCTGTTTATATAAATATGATTTTGCCGTAGTAACCAATACTTAGTAATCGACGATACCATTAGTATATTGTTATACTCCGACGATGCTGTATTGTATCCCCGTACCTGGAAATGTTTGTTTTTTCCGTCATGACTATAGCTTTGGTTAAACATTTGTAAAAACACCCTGTCTTGCGGAACTTTGAAGAGAAAATAATACAATTTAAATAAACACAATATAAACAACAACAGTGATCTAAATAAACTGTAAGCAGGGCAAGACCGGGAGTCGGATCTTGCGGCTTCAGAGTGTTATAATATCGCTCTAACCGATTGAGCGACCTGGTCCACGAAAGTATATCCAAAAGGAGGTGTGGGAAGGTTACTGTGTGTTGGTGAATAATCCACTTTGCAGAGGGACGGGATGCTTGTGAAGAGAATGACGAAGGACAACAAAGGTTAATGCATGTACCTTGTAAATGGCAGCAGCTTTTCTATAAAGAAAACCCGAAGATAGTACACTCTTTATCGAAAATAAGATGAAGTCGAACTGGAATTTTCATTGTGATGATATTTGACAGGATTATGCAAACTCTTAGTCTTATAAATATCTTTCGATATGGTTTAAGAAGATTTATGTATGAAGTTCACTTCCTCTGAGCTAGCAAAATCCGCAGGGCGCTCTCAAGTGCTGTAACCTCGAAACGTCCATACGCCGGCGTGCTGACCAGTGAGGGTTATACTATACTTTATTTTAAACCAGTTTTGTACTTTGGAGTGCCTATATTGGGAATGACTAAATTTTCCAAAATTTGATATGTAGCAGGAGATAAAGGGTGGTCTCTACAGAGACGAAACAATTAGTTTTTCATACGTCAATGGGTAAACGTAAAATTAATATAGCATAATAAGACTTGTAATATTGTTATTGATAATACATTAGACTTACTCATCATTTGACATAGATATATATTGGTACATAAACTAACCTTCCAATTATATTAACGCACGTAACTCTCTTTATTCGAGAATCTTTTAAGTAAAACATGATGCATTGTGAATTAATTTATAGACCCCATCACATAATTCATAGTTCCTTCATATGTGTAGAAACCGGGTAATAGTGTAACCCCTATGTCCCATTGGACCACAGATTGGTAGAGATAAGCCAACTTTCTCAACTGACGTTAATTTTATTCTGATATAAGATATCCATTTATACAAAAACGTTTCATAGGAAAAATAGACGTTGATAGTTAGTATCGTGAAGGAAGAGCTAAAATTTCTTCGTTGTACATTCAAACAAAAATATAGACTTTCATGAAGAGAATGTACATGTAATAAGCCAGTATGTCTGGACATTTTAAAACGTATGTACAAAAATGTTTAACTTGTAAAAAAGTGTGACACTGAAATGAAATGGTATAGATATTGTACTTACAAAATACCATCACTCCACATCCGATAAGTAAGGTCTGACAGAAACTCGTCATGCTGTTAAAGAAAGAAAAATGTCGTTCCAACCAAACTAGACTGGGTCCACTGTATTACCACCGAAGTCAAGCCAGGAATGGGCCGTTATAAGGTGATATTTTATATATGTATTTTTACCGGTAAAAAGAAGAAAAACTCATTGAAAAAAACGCGGAAATATTTAGTACAACAGGAAGTACTTAAAATGAAGAAAAGATTCAAAGGCAAACGAAGCCGGGGAAATAGTATCAGCACGCTTTAGGTCAGAGCATCAATGCAATAATGACCACAATTTCAAGTTCTTATTGTAATGGGTCCATTACAGGTGTTCTCGAAACCATCGCTGAATAAGAAATAACCAACTAAAGCCGCCTGCAGAAATAGTTCATTATTTTTCAAACATTTTTCGAAACTCGATATATTATCCACCATATTTTACAAAGATATGTTGATATTGTCTATTCTACCAATTGCAGTCTTTTTCGTGTCTACTTCAGTGTTCATACGTGTCTACCTCAGTGTTCATACGTGTCTACCTCAGTGTCCATACGTGTCTACCTCAGTGTCCATACGTGTCTACCTCAGTGTCCATACGTGTCTACCTCAGTGTCCATACGTGTCTACCTCAGTGTCCATACGTGTCTACCTCAGTGTCCATACGTGTCTACCTCAGTGTCCATACGTGTCTACCTCAGTGTCCATACGTGTCTACCTCAGTGTCCATACGTGTCTACCTCAGTGTCCATACGTGTCTACCTCAGTGTCCATACGTGTCTACCTCAGTGTCCATACGTGTCTACCTCAGTGTCCATACGTGTCTACCTCAGTGTCCATACGTGTCTACCTCAGTGTCCATACGTGTCTACCTCAGTGTCCATACGTGTCTACCTCAGTGTCCATACGTGTCTACCTCAGTGTCCACACGTGTCTACCTCAGTGTCCATACGTGTCTACCTCAGTGTCCATACGTGTCTACCTCAGTGTCCATACGTGTCTACCTCAGTGTCCATACGTGTCTACCTCAGTGTCCATACGTGTCTACCTCAGTGTCCATACGTGTCTACCTCAGTGTCCATACGTGTCTACCTCAGTGTCCATACGTGTCTACCTCAGTGTCCATACGTGTCTTCCTCAGTGTCCATACGTGTCTTCCTCAGTGTCCATACGTGTCTTCCTCAGTGTCCATACGTGTCTACCTCAGTGTCCATACGCCTAGGGTGAGCAAAGAGTCCCAGATCATCAGATCATTGGTATTGGGCTGTTGTTGGTGGTCACTGGTATTTTCCTGGTCATCTTGAGTTTAGGTACAAATCCAGGTTCCACAGACGGTTTTCTCGGGATATCTACATGATATAAACAGGCTATGAACATCGATATTTTAGTTTTCTGCCAAAACCAAAGCAAAATATTAAATCAATATTTTAGAATTATAATCATACTCTAAGTAGGATTAGTACCTTATGTTACTTTATACAGTAGTAGACACCAGCTACATTTAGTAATACAAACATTGTGCAACGAGGTAGAACCATATCACTATCTCGAGTCCGATGAACTCGAAACTAAATGTTCGGTGTTGGGCAGTAAGAACTCAAGTATGAACATTAAGTAAAGATATTTTACATTTAACGGGGCAACAAAGAAGGGCAACATTTAAACGAATCATAACGAATTCTATAAGACAACAGACATTAATCTGTAGCTCCCGTTGTATACGTTATAGACACTGTTCAATCGTTAGATATCAAGTCATGATGGCAATCACAACATTTCTGTAAGGATGTTTTTAAGCCTTTCTTATAATAAACATTATTGTGCGTCTATAAAAAAAATGCTATCATCCAAAAGGAAGGGGCTTGTATGTTTAACTTTAAGAAAATGAAAACTGTCACAAAGGAGGCTTGTATGTTACTTATAAGGAAAGGAAATCTATCACAGAGGAGATTTGTATGTTACTTCTAAGGAAAGGAAATCTATCACAGAGGAGGCTTGTATGTTACTTCTAAGGAAAGTATATCTATCACAGAAAAAGGTATGTTACTTCTAAGGAAAGGAAAACTGTCTCAAAGGCGGCTTGCATGTTACTTCTAAGGAAAGGAAATCTATCAAAGAGGAGGCTTGTATGTTACTTCTAAGGAAAGGATATCTATCACAGAAAAAGGTATGTTACTTCTAAGGAAAGGAAATCTATCACAAAGGAGGCTTGTATATTAACTCTAAGGAAAGGATATCTATCACAGAGGAGGCTTGTATGTTACTTCTAAGGAAAGGAAATCTATCACAGAAGAGGCTTGTATGTTACTTCTAAGGAAAGGAAATCTATCACAGAAAAGGTATGTTACTTCTAAGGAAAGGAAATCTATCACAGAGGAGGCTTGTATGTTACTTCTAAGGAAAGGAAATCTATCACAGAAGAGGCTTGTATGTTACTTCTAAGGAAAGGAAATCTATCACAGAAAAGGTATGTTACTTCTAAGGAAAGGAAATCTATCACAGAGGAGGCTTGTATGTTACTTCTAAGGAAAGGAAATCTATCACAGAAGAGGCTTGTATGTTACTTCTAAGGAAAGGAAATCTATCACAGAAAAGGTATGTTACTTCTAAGGAAAGGAAATCTATCAAAGAGGAGGCTTGTATATTAACTCTAAGGAAATGAAAAACTATAATGACCTCTCAGGAAAGGAGAACTATCACAGAATAGGCCCGTACATTACCTCTGAGGTAAGGAAAAGTTAACACACTATTCTGATAAGCCACCACTGAGGAATGGAAAGTTTAACACAGCTGAGATTAGTTTGTTCGTAGGAAGCAGGTGTGCAACTCAATGCAAATACATATACATACGTCATGCGAGGAATCGAAATAAACACTTTCTGAGGTTTGCTAAATTCAGTTAGCATGATAATAATGATTTCTAATTGAGTTCACTTGATTTTTTTAAAATTCATATAATTAAATGGTTTGGTGCACTTCTTCCCTCAACAAAAGTTTTGAACAATTTGCAGTTCCATCTGTTTAGCCCCCTCGCATCACCGATAAGTCCTAGAAGGACGGAACAGCTGTGTGGTGCGGTGTTTTTCAGTTTTGACTTGCTGCACCGAATACTAAATGTGGAAGGTGCAGTGCCTTGTGTCTGCCAATAGTTTCACACAAAGTAAATTACACCTACCCTGAACAATATTGTCCAATACATTGTTTATCTCATACAAAGCCGGCGCTTGGTCTCGTTGACGTCCTATTTTTCATGGAAGACCACAATGATTTGATACACGCCACGAGCATCAGCATCCCAACTGAGGTCCCAATCACTATCGCAATCTTCGCTCCACTTGACCTGGGAAAGGAGAAAGTCTTTTCAGGTCCATTCACTACACTTCTTTTAAATCACGATGGCTTTGCACTTTTTTACTTCAATAACTTGAATAAAATGTGGTTTAAATATGTTTAACATACATTTTCCTTTAATGCAACAATATTGGCTTTGTTTGATTAAGTAATACACATCCGGAAGCATTTTGCGTAGTTAACTCGGGATCACTGGAGCCTTTTCCTTTCTTGTTTTTGTTTTGTTGTACACTGTACATAAACATGTATTGGTAACGTAATCCTGGTGAAAATCAGCGGCTACAAGCAATGGACAACAATTGAAATCAAAGGCGATACAAAACCCATTAGGATACACCCATAACAAGGGAGAGAGGATATAGATAACGTGCCCGTAGTTACAATCCGGTGGTGCTGACAGTATATGTCCCATTACTGCTACTGTAACGGGAACTGGGAGGGGAACGGTACCTGAAGGAAGGCCGCTGATGACAGGCGCGGCCAGATTTACTAAAACGAGAGAAAAAAAACATGAAAAAAAGAAAAAGAAAGAAAAAACAAACAAACAAGCAAATCAATAGTACAAAGTTCAAAATTGCCTGACACTTCTCGATTTTGCTTGAGCTCTGGGTTACTGAAAATTAAAATGTAACATGTTCTAAAGTCCCATAATTATACATGCCGTGACAAATTGTAATATCCGTCTTTTTGATTTTGATTGATCATGTGATATATTTTGATTTAAAGCAAACTTTTAACTTATATTCAAGGTCACAGTATACTGGGATAAAGGACTACCAAGTTTGTTCGTAATGAATGAACTTTTCCCATAATTAAGGTCACCGGAGTCAAAATGCTGAAATCTTTTAACGATTTTCAGAAGAAAACAAATGCTAGGTTAATGATACATTTAATATGGCCAGAAGTATGCCGAGAGGAAAGGTTTGAACAGTTTGTTCATGTTAATGACCTTGATACTCTTTCCAGGTCACATCTGGTCCACTGTGTTAAGTAATCTTTAAAACTTCTAGGGTGGTGATATTTGGCAAGTTGCATTCTATGGTGAAGGGATGTCAAGTTTGTTCAACATCATGTCATTGTTTCACTCACAAGGTCACAGGGGTCAAATGAGTTCAAATCTTATAACATGTTCTTTTGAATGACTTTCACCGAGGTTGGCCGTAACCTTGTACCTGGCCCATCAGACCCCGAGGTTTGCCGTTAGCTTGTACCTGGACTATCAAACCTCGAGGTTTGCCGTAATCTTGTACCTGGCTAATCAGACCCCGAAGTTGGCCGTAACCTTGTACCCGGACTATCAAACCTCGAGGTTTGCCGTAATCTTGTACCTGGCTAATCAGACCCCGAGGTTGGCCGTAACCTTGTACCTGGCCAATCAAACCCCGCGGTTTGCCGTAACCTTGTACCTGGCCTATCAGACCCCGAGGTAGGCCGTAACCTTGTACCCGGCCTATCAAACCCCGAGGTTTGCCGTAACCTTGTGCCTGGCCCATCAGACTCCGAGGTTGGCCGTAACCTTGTATCTGACCCATCAGACCCCGAGATTGGCCGTTACCTTGTACCTGGACTATCAGACACCGAGGTTTGCCGTAACCTTGTACCTGGAAAATTTGTACGTTTAAGAAATGATCAACGTTGGTGCGTGTATTATGGTTAAACATATAAAAAAATGAGAAAATGTTGAAAACAAAATAAGAAACGAAAGCCCCTGCGGATTTAGCTAATTAATTTCCCAATATTTTTCGAAACTCGAGATATATTTTCCACCATAATTTACAATTTCCTTTCGTCCTAGAGTTGAAGCTCAGGAGGAAACACGGCTAATACCTTACTTGTTATGTCAAGAGATTGCAAATCGCGATGTATCTGAAAGTAAAGATTCAGGATCCGGCAAGGCCTTTGTCAGAATTAAAGCACGAAGGTGTTCCTTATGATTGGTTTAAAATTTGTGAGGGTAGAGAACAGAAATTTGGTCGTAGAACAACTCCTCCTTCAGCATGATCTTGTTTCACATCACCATACAACTGCAGTTCAGCTTAACACGTAGTCACTAGCGATTTTGATGATGTCTATAATGCAAAGCTAAGAGAGCATTTTTAGACCATGTGTTAAACGTTTTTATATCGACTATCGACTATCGACATCTATCAACAAAAAGAACGATATTCGGAGCAAGTTGTTCTTGAATACATGCGAAAGGTGAACACCTAATGTTTGGGAAACAGGGATGATGCTATTACGAAAGGGAAAGTTG